CTTCATTGCTGTTACCCCCCTGCGGAAGATGTCGTGAGAGTAGGTTTCTAGGTTCACAGAAGTCTCATTATCCTGACCTGACCCCTATGTCGAAAAACTTCCTGAACTACTCTTCGAAAGCTGCTGAAATCAGGAAGGATATAACAGAATTAAGAGATATTGTTGTTAGTCGGCGGCGGGATTACATGTCAGCCGTAGGTCATTATCGAGAACTGAGTCTTACATACGGTATATTAATTTTCTGGTTAATTGTTATTTCTTTCCCAGTTGCAGTGGGGCTAGTGAATTAGACATTTTCAGGAATGAGCGACTGGGAAAGAAAACAGATGGATGTGGAAGTGGATCAGGCTATGAAACAGTGCATTCGATTGATTCAAACATTTCAGAGGCAGGTTGCGGACGATGGCTCATTACGTGCAGCCGACGAAGCACCACATTTCCGGGAGGTTTGTGTTGTTGTCATTATATTTCAAGTAAATCAGTAGATTTTCTTTTTTTTTTTTGTTTTATCTTTCTCTGACCAGTTTAGATCGGTCACTTACTGGACAAGTATTTGAAAAAAATTGCAAAAATAGTAAGTGAATTGAGGACTGTCCGCTATATGAAGGTTCAGAACATGAAGAAATTGTCCCGGTTGTTTTTACTGTTAATTGTATACTTTATATGTTCCGTTAAAGTATCTGTTTTTTATACATTGCTTAGTTACTTTTTTGCTGTAGCGGGTCCATTAACTGTCATGTCATTTCTGTGTTTTATAGCTTAATTTCTTTTCTTCGTAGGCTGTCGTCTCTGGTAAAACTGAATGAGTGTCATAAGGATAGCTCATTTTCTTCTTTAGCCGTGGACAAGGCGGATTCTACTATTATTCATGATAATGGCTCTAGGGTATTAAACGTTAGCAATGTGAGAAGAAGGTTCGACACCGGAAAAGGTTTCCTAAAAACTTTTATAACGTTTTCACTAATACAATTTGTCTTGCTTTATGAAAATTATTCGCTGGAATAAGTTCTTTTTTTTTTGCTTATCAAAATAAATGTTAGCCACTTTTATATTCGCTTACAAGGTCAAAAGTGTATTTTGAAAGTTAAGGTTTAGTTGCAGAAGGTTCAGAAAAAAAGAGTTTTGGGAAGAATGAAGACAGTGTAATTGCCAGAGAAATGCCTTGTAGTTCCAGTATGGTTACTGAAACTGGCGGTGAGAATTTAGAAGTTACTGATAAAGAATTAGAGCAACAAATGACCGCAGAAAACGAGCAATTATATGCAAGACTGATACATACCGATGACGAGATACAAAAGGTTGAGCAGCAACTTAGTGAAATATATAAACTCCAGGAGTCTTTTGCTGAAAAGGTAATTAAGATTAGACTTTTTTAAAAGTTTTATTGCTGTTCGCACCTTTTAGAATATCGCTCCTAAGATGTTAGTCATCTCTCTTGCTTTACGAAACGCTTCCGAGGTGTAACAGGTGTCTCGGAAAGCTATCTTAATTTCAAGCAATCGTCATTAAACGATTAACAGTTCGCTCTCTTAACTTCACTTAGCTGTTGTTACGAATTTCTCAAGACGATAGATTGAAGAGGTCTTTTTCATAGGTTCTGGAACAAGAGAAGGATATAGAATTCGTAAATCAGGCTGCTGTTACTAGCGTTGAAAATATTCGAGACGGCAACGAACAGATCCGTGAAGCTATACAGAATATGGCTTCTCGTCGTGTCATTCTTCTTTTTTGTCTTATTGCTCTTACGTTCACTCTTTTATTTTTAGACTGGTATAATGCGTGAAGTCTACAAGAATTTCACTTAGTAGTCTAACTTGGCGTTGTGCAGTTAGGGACGGTTTTCTGGATTTGATACGTTTTTGAATACAGATTTTTATGGGGTTAATTTTTATCTGGGTACAAATAATTTTTTCGTCTTTATGTTATGGTATTTTTGAGGTTACTTTTTGAAGGCTTTTTTCAAATAGGAATTTAGTCAAGAATAAAACACGGATGAGTTTTCAACACTAGTTTTCACTCGAAATTTGTTGAAATGATGATAAGCAAGATCCGATATTGTGAAAATTCAATAAATGTCGTAAAAGACAGGTGTTTCTGACTGTGTGGAAATCTTGCAGTTGGTGGGAAAACTAAACAGCTCATTGAGACTTCGGCAAGCTGAGTAGCCAACTGCAGAATGTATAGAAGTGAGAAAATATGTAGTTAAAAGAATTTTTACTTTTCTGACGTTGATTGCTTTGGACGGATGTGGTTTGACTGAAAGTGTTTCATGCGCATAAGTTCAATGTCTGAAGCTATAATAGAGAAGTAGGTCTTCCAGTGAAGGTGTGTGAAAATCCAGGCAGCAAATTTTTTTAAAATGACATGCTTTTGAAATGGGACAGTGAAATTTTTATTTCTCATATATGGGCAACGGCAAGTAAGGAGCGTTTGGAAATGCTCAAAACTGTTGCATTTATGTGGAGAACAAGAATTGAGCAGTAGTCTTTTATCTGTCATATATAGTTGTGTATATATTTTTACTCACAGATAAATGAAGCATACATGGAACTGAGTACAACAGGACATACTCAAGTTCTGTAATAATTAAAATAATTGGTTTCAAAAATACACAGAACTAAGACAATATAAAAAGGAAAATAGAAAAATACTACTTTTGCAAGCGACTTTTCTGCTCCTGTTGTCACAGACATCAGATGAACAGCGTGTTATATATTTGACTCATATATATATATATATCCAACGCCGAAAAAGGAATGTTTTTGCCGTGTCGTTTTAAATAGCATTTATTTTTTCACCGTTTTCCCGTTAATACCGTACAACTCTTGCTGTTGCTGCGTTAATCCTCTGCTGTGCCAACAGTTTTGCTTCAACAACTGAATTTTGAATAGTAAAGAACATTTTCAGCTTACTTTCATTAGAAAAGGTAGCACAGTAGAAAAAAACAGCTGTAATGAAGTTAAAAGTTGTTTGTTTTATGTGTTTCCTGTGTTCAATATAGTAGTAATAGGAGTGTCATCTTCGATGGCATTTTAGAGAGAGAAGTGGAAGAGAAGAGGTAAATGGAAAAACGGTTAGGAAGGGAAGGAAGAGGAAGACGAGGAAACGAGAAAAAGATTTCTTTTCAGGGATATCTGGAAAGTATTTTTCCTATCTTGACTGTTTCGTAAATTTGCTTTGAGTCTCATACGAAACTGGAATATATGCTAATTTTTGAAAGTAAAAAGTTCACTTTTCTCCTACTTTTCACGCCTGATCCTCTATATTAGTCGCCGTCATTGTTTAATGAACCAAAGATTAACCTTCTTTGTTACCGTCGAATTTTTACCACCAGCTTGTTGATGCTATATACTTGTGTCGTAAAATTAGTCCTCAGCTGCATAATTTCTTTATAAGTAATTACAAAGGTAATCAGTACAATACGAGGAAAGTCGTCTAGCAGAAAGTACTCAGTAAAGTTTTGGGACATTTGTGACGTATGCTGTTCGCCTCAGAATGCATTTTTAACGCATATTTCTGGCAGTTTTTCGTATGAGGGTTTCTAATTTCATTCTATGTAGCAGTTGGGATTTTAAGGAACATCTATGGGGCGTCCACTTAAACCTCACCGCAAAAATATAAAAGTATTCAAAAAATTTCTGTATTGCATGAAGCCGTTACAGAAAATGATTTTTTGCAAAAATGAGCAAACTGCGAAGGTATCCTCTAAAACGAGAATTCTGCGGCAGTGAGGAACTATATAAGTCTTCCAGAAAGCGAATAGAAATGCGCTGCATGAATGAAAAACGAAGGAGGAAGTACACCTTTGCAAATTCATCATCCCTGGACAAGTATCCCTCATGAAGCGCCCTGGGAAACCCTATTTGATTTCTCGCTGTTGGGTTTCCACTGAAAGCTACAGTTTGACTGCTCTTCGGTTTAATTGGAGATTCTGTGCTGAACTTTGTGCTAAGCTAACCTCCGTAATTCTGACATGAGCCATTTGCAGAGAAGGCGAAATTTGCTCAGCAGGGAAACGGGATGAAATGCAGCCTAAAGAGTACCAAATTTTTCAATTTTTTAGACGCCTGTAACCAATAATACAACAAAAACAACAAAAATCTTGGTGTTCTTGTTAACTCTGAGTCGTTTTATGACAAAAAGGCTAGCAAGTGGCATTTCATGTTTCGCTGATGGTATCTGGACTCGTAAAGTAAGCGCATTTCTATTTTTATAAGCACTGAAACCTTTAACTCAAGTTGCATCAGTCCCAAGTCCAGAATGTCATTGGAATACACCTCATAAGACAAGAAATGAACTTTTCAGGCAGTTAAAATCGCTGCTGAGCAAAAGGCGCACGAGTCTCAAAAATATTTAGTACAGCTTACATTCCTCCTTTTTGGAAACGGTCAATAGTAATGAGTATTTATGGACATTGCGCTTAGCAAAAGATGCAAACAGGCGTTTCTCTTGAAAGTTTTGACAGCCGTTATTAAGTAGTCTTTAAGTTATTCAACGGTACATGCAGATTAACAGCTATTTTTAACTTCGTCATGTTTCTTCAAAACTTCCTGCTATTATGCAAGTAGCTTCGGCTGTAACCAGCCCGATCTTCTTCATTTGAATAGGACTTTTAAATTAAACAGTTTTAAGCCAAGAATCTTATGTAGAATCAACGTAGTTTAGCTAAATTCCATATTTCAAAGATTCTACAAAAGCTGTATAGTTTAATGAAAATGATTTGAAAGTCAGTCTTCATTCAAAAGTAGCATCACCGCTGTGTATTATTCTTTTAATGGCAATATCTGGCGGTTAACACTTGCGATAAGGCTGTCAATGAATATTTTTTTACAAAAGGCAAGAATGGAAAAGAAGGGAAATAATGTTGAACAGGCAAAGGCAAATCATAAAAACGTTTAGTTTTTTTTCGTTTTTTTCTTTTTCGTTTTTTTTTTTTTTTTTTTTTTTTT